GAAGGAGGAGGAGGAGGAGGAGGACGAGGACGAGGAGGAGGAGGAGGAAGACCGGCGGGAGCGTCGCGGGGAGGGGGAATAAGCTCGCCGCTTGCGACCCTGCTGCGGGTCCCTGTCGCCCGGACGAGAACTCCGGGGACCGGGAGCAGGGGAGCCGGTGGTGGCAGCGGCAGCGGCAGCTGCAGGGCTTGCGCCTGGGCCGTAGTGGGCCATAGAGCGGTCGACCCACACCCCTCCTGCTTCCCGTACCGCGTTAGAAGCCTCGCCGCCGTTGCGGCCACCTGTCCGGCCGATGTTCTCCAGGCCTTGCTCGCACAGCTTGAAGTACACCTCCCCGTCCCTCATGTACGACCGCACTCCTCTGACTAGCCTCCTTTGGAAAATCTCCCTGAGCTGCAAAAAGAGGGTGGCGGCGGCGGCAGCAGCGGAGGGGTGCAAGGTGGACGCGGGGGTGTGGGGCACGGGCCGGAAAAATCGCCTGTTGTTTGGGGGGGGGGGTATATCGAGCATGCAACTTGTGCTGTGCCCTCTGGTGTTTCACCACGCACACCGACGACGTTACATACAAACCCGAGGGTGCAGCAGCTGTGTGGGCTGCCTGGTTGGATATTGTGATGTCGATTGCTAAAAAGGTTTACGGCGCGGAAAAGACATCCTTCAGGTGAAAGCTCAACAGCTTACAAAACAGCTTACGTGTTTTTGACTCGAACAGCCTACTAAATAGCAAACCTCACCGACCCGAAAGAGAACAATCGCAAATCTGTGCACACCGTACAGCAGTCGCACGATATGTATCTCACCGAATACCGAACATTTGGGCGGGCTACGGAGCTCCTCATATCCGAGAACGACATCGGGCGATCAGTCCCGTTCTTCCTCAGCGCGGCGACAAGCTTCTCCCGGAACAACGAGCAATTCCGTATCGTGTGATTGTCAATGCCGTTCCTGCGCAGCGCCTGCTCGTGCTCCTCCTCTCGTTCCCTGCTCGCCGCTCGCCGCCTCGCGGCCGCCGCCTCGCGGCGCTCCGGGCTATTATTATCACCCTGCCACGCCCCGCCGCCGCCTCTTCTGGCCGAAGCGGGGGAAGCGGAGGCGGGAGAAGAAGAACCACCGCCTTCACCGAGACGGCGGTGACCTCGGGCGGCGGCGGCGGCGGCGGCGGAGCGGGCACCCGCCTCCTTCCAGGCGGTCGGCGGCAGCCCTACCTTGGTGTTATTGCTGCTGATGCTGCTGCCGTGGCTCTTTCCTCCACCTCTTCCGCCGCCTCGATACAACGAGGACGAGCGGCCCGGGCCGTGGTAACCGGCGTCGCCATCCCGTTTCCTCCCCTCCTCCCTCTCTTCCTCCCCCTCGCCCTCCTCGGGCAGCGACAGATCGGAGGGCGGTCGGCTGCTGCTGCCGCGGGCTTCGCTGTGCTTGCTGTTATTCTTTTCGCGGACTCCGCCGTTTACCTCATTCATATTCTTGTTCTTGCCGCCGGAGGCGGGGGCGGCAGCGGCGGGCGGTGGTGGGGGCGGTGCCGAAAGACTGTCACAACCTCCGTCGTCGAAGTGGTCGTGCTCGATCCTGACCTCGGACTTAGCCCTTGCCTTCGAAGACGGCAGCGGCGTTTGCGGCGGCGGCAGGTCGACGCCTCCGTCATTAAAGGTCGAGGCGATCGGTCCGGCAGCGTCTGCGTCGCCGACTCCCGCGCTCCCGCCGCTGGCGCGAGGAGGGGGCAGGATGTTGTTGCCCTTGGCGCTGCTGTCGTTCTTATCGCTGTCGTCGGTGATGCTGCTGCCGCCGCCGCCGTTGTTGTTGTTGTGAAAGTTGAGGTCGAGAGGAGGCTGCGCGTTCGGTGGGAGAGAGTCGTTCGTGTGCTGATGTTTGCGTAGAAGGAAAAGAAGGGCGGTTACCCGCCCCGTGAAGAGAACCCGGTGGAGAAGCAAGGGCCGTTGTTCCAGGCCAGGCCCAGGCGATGGAAGATCAAGTCCATATCCGTGATGTTGCCCGGGAGCAGGGGGGAACGAACGAACGACATCGGGGGCAAGAGAAAGGGGTAGTTCAGCAGGGGCCGGCGGTGGGTAGCGTTGGCGGTACGGCCGTCTACGTTAGAAGATAACTTCCCTTGCGGGATGGAGAAAAAACGTGCGTTCTGCTGCTGACGGCTACTAGGGTAGAGCAAACAGTTTCACGCACCAGTCGGGAACAACAATGGCTAGTAGAACACGGTGTGCAGCAAACGAACGAATCGCAACAGAGTATTGTCGATACCGAATGAGCAACGACGTGACAGGACAGGGCATCGTAGAGACAACCAACCGGTCGTCAACAGACGAAAACTCCTGGCAAAAAGCTCACGAAAAACGGGCGCTTTCGCTTCTCGCCGTTGCCGCCGCTGCACTCGTTGCTTGCGCGTGGCGACGAGCAAAACGCACGACGCTCGCTGGATCGCTAACCGAGCCGGCTGGTACCCCCAAGAGGCCAGCCACACTCTGCAAGTGCAACTCTCTCTTAAGATTTCGTACGTGAAAAGTGAAGGGCATTAGTGGTACTGGTCGTCGTCCCCGAGCGCGCAACGCTCACAACGTAGTTTACTTGGTGCGCAGTATTTAGCGCATTTGGAGACCCTCCTACTAAGGTGGGGCCGCAACGTACGTGCGCATACCGTAAGGTTGCACAAGATACCACCCCCCCCCCTGGACCCAATATCAAACCTCTGTGCGCTGCTGCACTGTTCCACGAAGAGGGGTGTGCCGAAATCAAAATGGTGCAACTTCGGAACGCTCTTGACGAGACAGCAGTTCCAAACGAACGCCTCGATTTCCGGCACCATCTTCACCGTTTTTTTTTCCTGCCGCACGAGCGATCGAGCTCTGAAAAAACATCGCTACAGGGGGTGCGGTATCTTATGCAACCCATACGGTAGTGCTGTATACCGTAGGCTGCATAGATATCACATCCTCTGGACCGATTTTCAAAGCTCGACTACTCCACAGCGAAGATGCCGCAATTGAAGCATGCATTTTCGGAAAGATCTCGACGAGATGGTACACCGTCGCCATCACCCCGCTTTTCCTGTCGAGACATCGAGCTTCAAAATCGTCGGTCCAGGGGTTGTGATATCTTCTGCAAACCTATGGGTAAACTGATAGTGCGCGGTTGCTCTCACCTCAAGGGGGGAGTCGGCGTCGCTTCTCAGCAACCCCGTCGTCGTCGCCACCTTCTCCTCCTCCCTCCCTCTCTGTCCGTACTGTGCCTCCGCCAGGCAGCGAGCAGCGGGCGGTGGTGGTGGCTGCAGCTTCGCCGCCGCCGCCGCTGCCGCTGCCGCTGCCCTTGCAGCGGTCGTGGGGGAGTAGCAACGCGCGGACGCCGACGCCGACGCTGACGCCGACGCCGCCCGTGCCTTGGGCGGGGACGCCGGAGGAGGAGGCGGCGGCGGCGGCGGCGACGACGGCGACGAAGGAGACAGCGAAGAGTCCAACGACACGTCGGCGGTGGAGCAGCCGCTCCCGCGGGGCGACGCGCCCGACAGGGCTGCGAGGGAGTCGTCCACGACGGCCGAGAACGATCGCTCGTGCCCGTGCCGGTGGTGGTCCTGGGCCCCCCCGTGGTCCATCGTCAGCCCCGGCTTCGCGCTCGCCGCGGCGGCAGCGGTAGCGGTGCCCGGAGTTCCAACCTCTGGGCGTGTTGCCGGTGGCGGCGTCGGGGGCGGCGGCGGCGCCACGTTGCTTGTTACCGCGGGCATCATCGGGTAGGCGGCACGCGGAGACGGGAAAGCGGGAGGACCCGCAGACGCCCCCCCTGCAGCACAAGCAGTCGCTGTGTGCGCGGCTGCAGGCTCTTGCGCGAGAGCGGTAGTAGAGAAGGCGCCCGAAGCAAGGATGAAACCACCACCGCTGCTGCTGCCGCTGTTGCTGCCGCTGCTACCGCGAGGGAGCACCAGGTGAGGCGCCGGCGACGCTGGCGAGGCGAGAAGGTCTCCTCCTTGGGCTGCCGTGGTGGCCCCGGACGCGGCGGCAGCGGTAGCGGTTACGGCACCACCGGCGCCGCCGCCACCGGCGCCGCCGGCCACGCGCGGCATCACAATCACACCGCCGTTGTCGTTGCCGTAACCGCCGCCGGCGCGTGGCATCATACCGCGTGGCATCATACCGCCGCCGCCATTGTAAGCACAAGACGCTATTGAATCGTTCGACACCATTCTCTGCAAACGCATCGTGCTCCTGCCGGCTCCCGCTCCTCCTCGTCGTCCTCCTCCTCCTACCCCCTCAAAAGCGTACGAATACGTCTCTTCCATCGGGACCGAAGCCTGCCGAGCGTTCCCGAACCCGATAGGGCTTGCCGGAGAGCCGGCCGCGCCGTCGCTGCCGCCGCCGTCGTAGTAGTCCCCGCCATCGCCACCGCAGCCGCTGCTGCCGCCGCACGGTGACCCCAGGCCGCAGCCCTCGGCCACTTCAGCAAACGCCTCGCCGTAGTTGCCGAGCAGCCGCCGCGGGTCGTCGTCCCGGCGGCGGTGTTTCGACCTGCCGGGAGGGACCCCCGCGACCGGCGGCGCCGCGAAGGGGATCCTCTTCACGACGGGAGCGCGCGGCGCCCTCGGCTGGGGTAGGGGCTCCGCGGGCGAGAGTAGAATCCTCCTGGGTCTCTTGCTGCTGCGCCTCCTGCTGTGCCTGCTGCTAATAGAGGCCTGGGGATGAGGTGGTGGCGCCGCCCCTGCCGCCGCCGCTGCTGCTGCTGCTGCTGCCGAGGGTCGGATGACGGTGGTGGTGATTGGCTGGGGTCCAGAGGGTGATTTTCCGCCAGCAGCAGCAGTAGCAGCAGCAGCAGCAGCAGCAGCAGCGGTAGCGGAAGGCTTGGGGACCATCGCCGCCGGCGGCGGCGGCATGCCGGTGGTCCGGTTGTTGTTGCCCAGCAAGCGAGAAACGGGCGAGGTGTGCCCTGGTGGTGGTGGTCGCGCTGGTTCCGGGCTTCGCCCGCTCGGGTTTCTGCCCTCTTGCTTGTCCATGGGCTCTACATCGTCGTCAGCTACCTAGGCACACGGGTGGGAGCAGCATTGGTGGCAGAGATATCGGACACCAAAAAGATGTTGTTATGTCATGTCGTAGTTCCAAGAGATCGCCTCTCTTGTTGTTCGTGCCTGCAGATGATACGCCTGCAACGAAGTGACCAGACTTGAAGAGCTGCATAGAGGAGAGAGGTATCAGCCGCTTTCGCCACCGAACTAGCGGCCGCGCGGATATCTCGAGACGCTAGCCCTTCGCGTCGATACTAGAATAGATCCTGGGCGTGTCATCTACACTACAGTACCCGTCTATCCACCATCCACAAGAGATGACTTGTGGGAATAGACTACGACATGAGAGCACTAAGGTCAGTCAGGTGTGAGTTCCACTCACAAAACAAAGATCGATGAACGAACCGCAAGCTTCCTCCTCTTCTGCTCGGCAGCATCACGCGAATATGCACGCCCACCTCATCCTCGAAGCTAGGTAGATCTGCACCGGAAGCCAGGCCCTCGTCGCTCTCGTTCATGGCCGACAAGTTCTGTTCCTTTTCCTTCTCTCGTTCGGTCGCTCGGGATGGGTGGCGAATTGGCGGTCTCCAGGCTCACTTTTTTTAAAATGGCCGCAGCACACATCACGCGTTCACGGCGCCCCCGCCGTTGGGTGGGTGGTATCATGCGTCACACCTCCGCTGTGGATACATGTTTCCGAAATGCACCATGTACGACGTGGATCTGAGAGAATTTCGTTAGCCCCTCTTACGCCCTTCGTGTTGTACAACGCCTTGTTGCCTTGCGCTTGAACGCAATGCCGGGAAGATGCGATGGGATGCGATGCGATCGCAACGTTTTCTAGGACAAGGTTCCGCCCAATTCCAAGGCATGTACCGCGTAGATCGGCGTCGCTTGTGTGGGAGCGGGGTGTCCCTGACCACGAACATGGAGGACTGCGTGCTACATGGCAGGGAAGGGGAGTGGATGTCGGACGTAACATGTATTTGCTGTCGTTAGAGAGATCTACGCACACAAAAAGCAAGTCAGCCAGACTGTGTAAAGCGAAATAATATATCTCGTCTTTTCAAAAGATACCCGCCGTTAGAGCCGGTCTTCTTGCAGATCGTCGCCTCGTTTTTTTGTTTTTTACAACTACGATCTGATAACGAAGAGTTCAAAGGGAAGCATAACAAAAAACGGGCGCCGTGGGTGTGGAGAAAGATGTGAAAAAACGGCGCTGCGACAAAAGAGAGAGATCCGCCGGGTTTTATGGGGAACAGGTCGCAAAGGCGTACTGCCGTGCTGAATTTTAGGTTCCCAAATACACCGCGGTGATCATGCCATTCAGGTTGTTGGAACAGACAGAGAACGACGAAGGGTCCGGGGGGGGGAGGGGGGGTTCTGCAGAGTCCGTTTTGTTCTAACATGTGTACCCGCGAGCATCATCACAACCTCCAAGTCGATGGTATCGCCCCATCCCCGCAGGGCTGCAACGGGGAAAAACGGAGCATCCATTGGTCTGTATTGGTCCCGTGCCGAGGCAGAAGCACGTGTTACACGTGGGTACTGGGTTGCAAGAGGAGAGGACATTCCAGAAATAGGAAGCCAGCCGCCGCTCGTCACGAGTCCGGGGTTATCGAATGAGCGCTATGTATGTAAACGCAAGCTGCTGTATTAAAACTCAATCCTTCCTCCAACCCCTCCCCTCGCCGGGGAGCCAAGATCTCAACGAGCGACCTGATGCATGCAGTTTTCACGTAAAAGCAGTTGCCATCTTGTGGATTCCGCTCTGTCTACCCGCCCCCCCTACCCCTCCCTTGTCTGGGAAGAGACAGACTACGCCGCCTGGTGGGGTCGGTATCTTCTCTGTGTCAACACCGTGAATCCCGTGACGACTTACACTCCTCAGAATGGGCATACATGGCGCCGCTTCATCAACACGACAAAATCTCGACACAAAACAGCAGCACCAGCAGCACCAGCAGCACCAGCAGCACCACCCACTGCTGCAGCTCGCCGGCGCCCGTAGAGGGAACAAAACCCTTCGAAACGGACGGACGAAACTCAAGGAGCAATGTCGCGGCACCATATCTTTCTACCGACACATCTTCATCATGAACCGCACGAACGCGAGCGCCCCGAACAGACGACGCGTCAAGGCAAAAACACAGGCACTGTAACCACAATTAATTCCGACAAAATACGGGCACACACCAACGACACCATATCCACTAGAGAGACTCGGCCGCCGCCGCCGCCACCACCACCACGACTACTACTGCCGTCCGACTAGTCTGCTACGGTCGCCCTCCCCGGTGGCGTGCCTGGCTCCTTGCGGTGCTATTCAAAGAGCTAGTCCCTCTCTTCTTTCTCTTTTCTTGCTCTCCCCCGCTGGCGCGCCCCCGGTCGCCGCTGCCGCCGCCGCCGCCGCCGCCACTGCCCTCGACAGCGAGCTGTCGAGCACATCGGATGAGCGACTCCACCTCGTCGGGAGTCGCCTTTCCCGTCCCTTGCCATCGCACCCTGCCCTTCTGGTCTACCAGGAGAACGTACAGCGTCAGGCGGTTGACGATCCCCAGGGCCTTGCGTACCTGCCCGTGCGCGCGCGCGTTGCCGACGACAAGAAAGCATCATCGTCCATCGTGAGAAACATCCTTATGTATATAATAAAGCAACATGATCCATGGTACACTGTCATCACCCATGGGGCCTATGGAAAACTGCCGGCCGACTCACTACCTCATGGTTGACCGGGAGAAGAGAAACGCTGATCCGTTCTCGGAGTATAAAGCATGTATACACCGCGGAGAGGGTCTCTTCTTTACGACCCCGGACCGTGCGATAGCTCCTCAACAGATGACGTACCACCTCACGGTAAGTGGGCGGTTTCGGTACGACAGATGGGAACTGATAAGTCATGGCGATGGTCGCTAAAACAACTGATGGATCGTAACGACAAACGTGGAAAAAAAAAAGAGCGATGAAAAAAAATCGCAAAAAAACATGTATCTATGCATACCTCTTCGGTAGGGCCGAATCGATAGAAGAACGCTGCCTTTTTCTCCGGGGACAAGCCCCTCCCCATCGTGCTGACCAGCAGCGGCTTCATCATCCGCAGCGGCCACGACTCGAGCAACGACAGGGACAACGCAGATGGCGGTGCCGCCCCTGTTGGCTTCCCGCCCGCCGAAGGTAGCGTATCCCCTGACCCACAAGGGCGACATTGAGAAGAAACGAAGGTAGGGGTGGTTGGGGAAGAAAGCCAAGAAGATTCGCCGTTTCCTTGGGAAACAGGCGAACTTCCTGCCGAGGGGTCCGGCAGACCGGAAATCTTGTTCCCGTTTCTGGGTTGAGTCCCGCTAAAACATCGACGGCCTTTCTTTGTTCGGCGGGGTTGACGCGGTCGATACTGCTTCGAGAGAACACACACACACACGCAAAGAATATTCTGCAGGGTGGGGACATGGACTTGAAATCGTTCGTGCGTTTGTGGCGCTGCATTTGTTGTCGTGGTATGTACTTCTGTCGGGTTGATGGGATTGTATCATGTGCCAGGTAGGGGCGTGCTCTTATGTTTCCATGCCTTAGCGGTTGGACCATTGACCATGCATCCTCGAGAGGACGGCAAATTGTTCCCACAGAACCGATCACCGACGGCCAATCGTTCCTTCCTGCTATGCCAAAGGTGGATCATGAACCGGGGGGGGGGGGGGGNCCTAGAAAGCCGGGACGGAGCACGCCGGGTTCCCACCGGACCAGGCTCTCACATCACCAAGCGCGAAGGGCCGGAAAAGGAAATTATGCAAACCCATCAACCCAACAGCAGTAGCAGCACAACAGCAGCAAATACAGCGGCACAAAGGCAATAACGACTTGTAGTCCATCGGCTTCAATCCCTAAGGACGGGAAGAGACGCAAGGAAGCTTGTAGCTGACAACACCCCATGAATGGAGAATGGGATAGGAGCGGATGCCGAAAAGAGCTGGACGCGAAGTGGGCGGACAAGGCATGCAAGACATGAGTGCCCCCCCCCCCCCCCC